GGGAGTTTCAGCACGCTGCGAAATCTTCCGCTGGGCCGACATTCTAACATATTCCGCTGCTAACAGTGATCGGGGTACGATGATTTCCTAGAAGAACATGCAATTGAGGACATGCGACGTGAGAGTTTTAAATTAAACATTCTAATATTTTTAATTGTAGTTATAATTATATTTCTCTTTATTTTATTTCTTTTAATACTCACGAGAGAGTGTATGCTATTTTTTTGAACTGATCTGTAACGGTTTGAGACTTATGTTTTATCTATTATTTTTCTCATATACGTCTGTTTGCAAATAACATCATTAAACAAGTGTAAAATGATCATTTATCCAACAACAGTTACAAATAAATTGTTCATAATAAACTCCCTTAAACTAAAAGCCAACTTATCTTGATAATTTGGAGATTATCAAATTGTCAGGATGATTTGCTTATCAACAGATCATAAATAATCTGCAGCTGCCCCAAGCAGACCCTTAATTTCAGTTACATTAATCTTTCTATATCCCAAATCCAGAGCGTTTGGCAAAATAAGTTTTAGCTTACAAAAAAATATTTTGGAATAAAAGCACCTTTCATCAAATTTTTTTTTTCTATCCACATTAACCCTTTTTCACCTCAAGCTGTACAGCTAAATATAGAAGGCATAAAAAAATGCCTTTGTCCCAACTATTGCATATTATGCAACCCAATTACAAGTGCTGTATCTGAAACAAAAAACTTTAGAATAAACTTTCTATTTTTGGAGAGCAAACGTCTGACGTGATATATCATTTATGAAATGAAATGGAGAGAGAACTAAACTTTGCTTATTGCATACTGCACCTATTCTTTAACACTAAGATTAAAAATTGATGTCCTAATAGGTGAAAAAGACCGAAAAGTAAACAACTAAACTCATATAATTTAAAAAACGGTTATTAAATTCCAATCTACACAATTTCCAAAAGATGAATGTTCAATATTTTGAGTGAAAAGATAAACATGAAGTAAATTTATTAAACAGAAAATAAAGGTTCATTGAAGGTACCTTCACCTGTTTTATACTCAAACTTATCATCATGGCGAGAACTGACATATTTTTGCTTCTCTTTTTGTCAAGAAAACTAACTGCTCCTAATTTTTCCTATTGCTTGGATGGTTTATTTTCATTTTAGTTTCAATTTCCCCTTTAGGCTTGGTATTTGAGCTTATTAATTTTGAGATTTTTCCATCTTTAATCATTCGCTATAATTTTAATCACAGATTTTTAAATGGCTCGTTAGCTTTCTTGCTGGAGAATCCTAAAACTGGGTTCACACTCTATTCAGTAGTAAAGATAATTGAGATGCTATTATAGAAACTGCTATTCCAGCACAGCTTACTTGCTTTTATGTGCATCGTATGAATACATTACTTTAGCAATATTTTCTGCATCCACGAATATTTTAATAGTACTGTCAGTAATTTATACTTTCTCTGTATACATGATTCATTCACTCTTGAATTTCCCATGATTGGCCTTTGAACTAGGCATTTTTGTGTGTCAATACTAGTATTATCGATCCATTGGATTATCTAGATTTCATGCCTACTTTTTATAGAGTTTATACTCATTACACGAAAATCTTCTTCAGTTATGTGACTATCATATTATAATTTTTGAGAGATTGGATTACTCAGAATGGTTATGCTTGTCGTCATCTGAATACATTAGATAGTTTAATATCCAGATAATTTTGTGAAATCATTAGAACAATCATCATGTAATAGGATTTTCCGTCATCCATATGCCATACTTGGTGCTATAGCCTTCTGGTGTCATGATATACCGTAAATACTAGCTGATCAGGCCACTCCGCTTCTGTAACTATTTTTGTCTCTTTTCCTGGCGAATTACTTGCATTAGGAGGCCTGTAGTAGCGCCAACCATTTCACTGATTAGTCGGAAGTACCCACATTCGTAGTAAAATTTGTGATCCAATGCTTTTGTGAAGTTTTTCATTTCTGTATGGTCTTTCTTTTTTGTCACATGTCTGAAGGCTTCATTTGATATTACCTTTTTTTTTTTTGCTTTTTTTCTTCCTTAAAAAATGTGCCATTTCACAATTTCAATCAGTATGCAATGATAAGCTGCCCATTGTTGATAAGATTGCTGTTGATTAGTAGTTGGAAAATACCTCAACTGAGTCTAGTGGCATGACCGTTATTAACTCACTGTTGTGCAGCCACTTCTCTCGCAGTACATCGCAGTTGTCTCAAATATTACATATAAAGAATGGCCTGCATCATATTAGCATTGAAGTCCTCCTAATGATGCTATTACTTGTAGACATTAAAGCAAGTCGATGCCTGCCACTGCTAGTTCTTCACTTAATCTCGAAGTTATCATTTTGTATATGCTTAATGGTCTCTTTGCTTCATATCTGGCATTTGAAACAATGATTACATCAATATTCAACTTATAAATCTTAATGTTCTTTATTTGCTGTTATGTGTGAGTTGGGATAGTTTTCTGCATACTTTGCGTTTCAGCCGACATCATAATTTTGCTCGGGGAACTACTTTCTGCTACTTTTTAGAAATTTTAATGGTGGAAAATTGTTTTTTTTTTTCAATATGACTTGTTATTATGGTGGCTGTAAAAGAGCTACTATCTAATTTTTATGGAAAAATTATTTATATATAATTCCCACCTCAGCTTCCTAAGAAGTTGTTCTTCGCCATAATTTTGCCATCACCTTTTACAACCACGTTTTAAAAGCTGCAGCCACCCAAAAATAAATTATTTATCTTGTTGCCAAAGCTATATGTGGTTTCTTTCCCTCTTAACTTTTGATGACCAAATAGCTCTCAATACCTCTAGGGGGGCACAGACCTCCATACTTTTTTTTTTCAATCAAAAGCACTAGAGGCTTTTCGTCCAGGACATCCTTCAAACCTGGTTTTCATTCTGTGGTGACAAATCACAAATAACCCAAAACTTTAGATCTGTAGTAAACTTAGTCACACCCTTTTAAAATGCTGGCATCGACTTGATCTTTCTTATCAATATCAAGCTCCAATAACATCTCAACAACAAAATTCAGATTGGTATCTCGATTCAGGAGTTACTTACCTCATCTATGATCCATATTAGCTCCAAGATTTTTATTTATATCACCGTAACAATAGGTGCCTCTCGACAATGAATATACTTTAACAATTTTTCACTTTGGTCGAGGACTCGAGGTCTTCTTTCCATGTCCAATCAAAAGCTTCGTTTGTCCCAATTCCTCAACCTATAAATCTCACCCCTAATCTTTTCTGTTCAAGGCTAACATAACTCTTGTTGTTACATCTCATTTGATTCTTCTAGTTACATTATTAAGGATTGAAGGACCAACACATTGTATCGTTAAGGACTATCCAGTTGATCCTTCCTCCCCCAGCTCTTTGCATTCCAAACATCACACCCTGTTTGTCAACCCATCCAACTCTGCAGTCTGTCATCATCGGTATTGTCACTGTTCATCTAACACAGTTTCTTTTTGTAGAAATCTACTTATCATCAAATCAGCAGTTCGGCATATTCTTTTGACTGTACCTTGCGTGCTCTTGCAAAAAATCACAAAATATGTTTTTTTGGTTTCTTTTATACATAAACCTTTTCCTATAGACTGATTCACACTAATGCATGTTTGCTCTAATCAAGGATAAAATTGTTGATGGTTTTTCTCAAAAATTTTTTGGCTATATACAATGGATGTTAAATTAGAAACCACTTAAAAATTTATTCATCTTAAAGATCTCATTGAAAATCAATTCCATAAAAAAAATTCAAATTCTTTGAACTTATGTGGGTGCTGAATACACTAACCTCTTTCTTAACAGAATTTTCACTGATTATGGATCAATCTTCAACTTGACTGTCCGCATGCTCATGAAAAAAATGGCATTGCAAAATGGAAGCTCTTTTATTGTGATACAGCCACTTAGATTTAAAGATCACAATTAAGATAACCATGTTTACTTCATTAAAAGCTACTCTATAGCTTGAAGTAAACCCCTCCATCAATAGTTTGCCGTCTCAACCTCTGCAACGATAGTATCTCCACAGGAATTGTCTATCCATCTTTGCTTCTCTAAAATATTGAAAAACTAAAATTTATTTGCGTATTTATATGGATGATTTTCTTTTGATCGAAAATAATGATTTGTCGCACTCATGTCATGGTGTGTTAAGAAACCACAGATAATTGCTCGGTCTGCTACCAAGGCTGGAAAAAGAACTCTTACTACAGCAACTATGGAAGTTATTTGGGTGTAATGCCTTCTTTAAGATTTTAATTTCTCAAATTCTCAACTGGCTTAGTTGGCTGGAAAATGCGTCAACCATATCTGATAAATTGGCCATTATTTCCTGACCATTGTGCAGCCACCTCTCTTGCAGTGCATCACAGGCATTGATCTATGGCATGATAACCATCTTTCTGTGGTAGATTTCTGTCTTAATTCTATAAATGTGGTCTCTTCGTGTTATCCCTATGAAATGACTTCGAAAAGCTGCTAGTGATTTCTCTCCTCCATGTTCTGTATTTTTTCCTCTCTTATTTTCTGTGTAGCCTGCAACTAGTATTTCTAAGCTCATATTTCAACATGCATAATTTTTTTTATAGAAATCTGTATATATAATATTCGCCTGTTCCTTAGCTCAGAGTTCAGAGAAACTTGTCATGTCAATGAGAGAAATGATAACTTTTATTTCACCATGTTATATTATCAAACGAAGCCTAAAAATGTGTTTTGAGCATTGTAGTTCTATCAGATAATAGTTTTTGAAATGTTGCAAAAACATAGGCTTTTGTTAAAATTGATTCTAGTATTATCGACCTTATTATTTTTTTTTAAGCAGAAGTTGGGTCAGCATAGAAATTTTTGTAACTTAGCAAGGGAAGCTAAACATAAATGTTGCAACTAAAATCTCATTAATATTAGCATGCATGCGTCTAGTGGCTTCAGCTCATAGTTTTCTTGTTAGCTTTTGCAGAAAGAATGGAGGGAGAGGAAGGATGATTTTAAGAAGAAAGTTCGGCGCATCGTGAGGCAGTCCCAAGAGATGCTATGATTATATAAAAGCCTAAAGACCTCTGCTGTTGTAAGTGGAGCTAAAAACCAAGCTGCAGCAACTTTCTTTGCTCAAGCAGAAGCGTGTTTGTGGGAGAGAATCATTTGGTTGTCGATGTCTTTTTGGATGTCTTGTCGTCTTCTATATGTTTGTGTAGAATTTATTGATGTTGGGTTTCTTAAGGAGAGACGTTACTTGGTTATAATAGAGAAATAGCAGGTTTCATGTTTTACATGTTTGATGAATTGAATTGGCGAGATTTATTTTTACCGTCCCCACTTAGTGGGATAAAGGCTTGTCTTTGTTGTTGTTGTCGACGAGTGTATTGAAAGAGTTAACCATTCTCTATTTTTTTTTTTAGATTATTGAATTGTTAATGCATAGTGGCATTGAAAATAATATTAAATTATCAGAGTAAAAAAATAGCTTATTTTAAACTAAACTTGGGTTTTGCTTCTAAATGGCTGTATTATTTTTTATTTTTATTTTTAATTTGGAAGATAGTTTCTGTTGCAGGAAAAATAATTTCTTGGAAATTTTTTGGTAGTGCAAGCAGTTTAAAAAACTCTGAATCAATTTTTTTAGATTATTATATTTTAATGGAAAATTTGAAAGAATAATAGCAGTAAAAAAAAGTTATTGTGATTTTAGAAGTAGGGTGATGAGGCGAATGGCTTCTAGTGATTGGGGTAGATGACTGATGGTTATTAGACTTGCAGGATGGGGGAAAGATTTAACATGGAAACCTGTAGTTTGGGCAAGTGCCCCTTGCACTAATGAGTGCACATGTAGACGATAGATTAGTGATTTTGATGAGCGGCTCTGATGGGCAAGTTCTCATGATGAATGGATCTTCAAGCTAGGCAAGGGATTTTATTGGCTGGGCGAGAGGCCTGGCAAGTGAATCAATAGTCTAGGAGTACAGCCTTATGGGCTAGGGTGGGGTCATAATAAGTGGACCCACAGGATAGGCGGGGCCACCCATGATAAGTGTGAAAAATAGTATGAATATTTGATACTTTTTTACATTGTGCGTCAATTTTTTGTTTGTATTGTTTTTTTTTTGTATATTTTGTCTATTTATACAAATATATGTAGAACATATTATTTAGAAGATAATTGTAAACATGCTCAATGCCTACCTCTAAGTACATGGTGCTGGGACACTAGTTTGATAATGCCTCAACATCGATGGAGCAACGCAAAGATGCCCAAAGAGGATTTTTTTTGTGTCAAAGACCCAATGACAAGATGGTACGATGCTTGAAACAAGCATCTCAGTGCCCGCACAGTAGCACCCTGACCCTAAAAAGGAACAACCGTTACACCCAAACCCTAATTCAAAATTCAGAGATCATAAAAACTTGTGTTCAGATCCAATACTGCCACGTCTTAATCCCGTAAAGCCACGTAGTAACGATTTGCGCTCATCAATGCCTTCAACTTGGGTTGGTCTAGTGACGGTTGGACATAAATTCCTAAAAGAAGATATATTTTGGACAAAGGGAGGACTTTGGCAAGCTTTTAGGAGCCTTCATGATTTTTTATTTTTTATTTTTTGCTTTCTTTGTTTAGGGTTTCACTTGTGGGTGTGAAATGAGAGCTTGTATTGAGAGACATTGCAAAGGAAGCAAGTGGATGACCTAATTGGAGAAGGAAGTGCATTGGAGCAAGGATTGTATTTCGGGCTTTATCTTTCATATCCTTTTTCTTGTAGAGTCTATTCTTTTTTTAATGGGAATGCATTTTATTTTAGACTTATGTTGTGGAACTAATTCTTTTGTTTTTGTGTGTTGTTCAAGTAAAATTTAGGTGAATCCATGTTAGATACATAGGGATTAAAGGCAAAAATTGATGTTTTAACTTTCTAAACCTCATTTACATTTTGAACCAACCATTTGGGGTGTTAAAAATTATTATAATATAGAACTTTCAAAAGAAGACTAAAAGTACAACTAAGTTAAAATACAAATATTTAGTGGAATATAAATATTGCCAAGAAGTATTTGCAATCTTGTTAGGGGAATAGGTAATTCTTAGATTCTTTTGAGGTTAAGGAAACTTAACCATAATATGATATTCAAATGCTTGTTAAGTCTCGGAAAAGAAAAATAAGAAAAATTGTCCATTATTGTCAACTACTTTAGAAAAATTTAATGGAGGATCACGGAATGTTGCATGAACCAATTCAAAGAAATTTATCAAGTAATGGAACACACTTAATCCTTTAGATTAGACGCTTTTAAATTAGACTTTAAAAATATTTTAAAATCAAATCATTTGAATTAAACAAGAATTAGAAGATTGGTAATTATCTATTTTCATAATTTACTTGTTTCTCATGAGATTGATAACGAAGACTTAAAAATTCATATTTTATTTGGTCAACATACATACTTACTTGATTAACTTGTACATCACCGCATTACAAATTAAGTTTTTGACATCGTTGTTGAAGAGCAAAGTTATATATTTTTTTTCAATTTAGATTAATATTAGTTGAAAATTTTAAGTTTAAGTTCATTGTTGTAGGGATAATTGTATTGTTTCTTATTTTATTTCTATTACATGCTATTACATGATTGTTGTGTTTAAGTTGCAAAATTCTATAATTGATTATATGAAAATTTAATTTATGTGGAGTACCGTCACAATAATACATTGTTACTGCCATCGTGCAGCCTTAATAGTGTTGCACTACGAAGAGAATGACAAGATTAGATTATTAGGGATTTTGCCAACCCTATGGAAGAAGAAATACACTAGAGTATCAATAAACCTACAATTAAGGCCAAAACTTTTTTCACTCAAACCTGTAATAAGACAAAACATTCAATTTAGTTATTCAACGATAGAAGACCTAATCTACACAAAGCCTTCTTTTTGAAACTTTGTGGGACCTTTAGATGTTGTAGTGTCTCAAATGATACTATTAGGCTTAGGTTGTTTCCCTTTTTCTTTAGGGATAAATCTAAGATATTACTTAACTTTATATATCTTGGACCGATCACAATCTAGAATGAACTTGCATATAAAGTCCTTATTAAATACTTTCTTCCGTCCAAAATGACCAAACTTAGGAATGTGATTACATTCTTCGCCCAAATAAATTGTGAGGCTATTTATAACACTTGTGAGAGATTTAAGGTTCTTCTTAGAAAATGCCCACACTATGCCCTACCCTATTGGTTAATTATACAAATATTTTATAACGAGTCAGTGTGATCATTGATTATAACAAAAGTTGCAGTAGAGGGTCTTTAAAAACAAAATTATTCGATAAGGCCTATGCAGATATTGATGAAACAATCACTAATAATTTTCAATGGACTTCAAAGAGAGTCAACCCTAAGAGAGTGGCCAATGTATACGAGCAAGATGTGTTATCCAATCTAAATTTACAGGTAGCAAATTTATCTAAGAAATTAGGTAACTTATATTTGAATTCAATATCAAGATCTCTAATAATAATGAAAATAGTTATGGATAAGTAGGAGATCCTAGTATTATACATGTGGTGTCAATGAATGACATTAACAATACACACAAATATGCCATTTAAACATCTACATGAAAAATAACTAAAATGCATGGAACACTTGGTGGGAAAGTAACCAATAGAATACCTTAGGCAACTAAACAAGCTGAGGAATAATTTTGCAAACTTGAGATTCACTTAAACAACTAGATTCACTTTCTATTTGAAATTTAAAGGAAAAATTAATTATTTAATATTACAAATAGGCAATCAATTGTACAAATAAGCTGCAACAATAAAATACATGGAAAATTAATTGAGGCAGTTAGCAAATTCTCTGAGTACTAGACCCCAAAGGACATTACTCAGTAACATTGAAGTGAATCCAAAAGATAAAATGAAGGAGCAATGCAAAGCCATTATGCTTAGAAGTGGAAGGGAGTTAGAGTGTATGACTAAGGAAGAGACTATCTTAGAAGAGCCTAAGCTTGAGAGACTTAGTGATAAATCTACACCATTTCTAAGAAATGAAGCCCTATCTCCTAGAAAAGAACTTAAGAGATCACTTCCATTTTTCTCTAAAAGGCTTCAAAAATATAAGTTGCATCGATAGTTCTCTAGAATTCTAGAAATACTAAAAAAATAATTAACATCACATTTGTAGAAGTTTTAGAACAAATGCATAGTTATGTAAAATTTATGAAAGATATCCTTAATTTAAAAATGCAAACTAGGTGATTATGAGACTGTGGCCTTAATTGAGTAGTGTTATTCTATAGAAAAAAAAATTTCACAAAAACTGAAGGATCTAGGTTGTTCCACAATCCTTTGCATTATAAGAGATAAGTTATTTATGAAAACATTATGTGACTAGGGTGATTGCTTCAATCTTATACCTCTACCCATCTTTAGGAGTTTAGGATTTTAAGATGTTCAACCTTCAAATGATCCTCTTAATTAGTTAATAGTTCATTGGCATATCTTAGGGGGGTTATAGAGGATGTCCTAGTCAAGATAGATACCTATAACAAATGACACCCTTATTTCTTACTTTTTAGTTGAGTATTAAGATCACACCAAATATTTTTTGCACCATAATTTTATGACAAGTCTACTTTCACAAGTCCCTGTAAAACATTGTCTTTAGAAGAATGTCTTTTGATTTACGAAATGCTCTTGCTATCTTTAAAAAGTGCATGATGCCCATTCTCTCTAACTTCAATGTTGGGCACCTAGTTTTTTTTTTTTTTTGGGGGGGGGGGGGGGACATTTTTTCCGTGCAATTTTTTCCGGCTCTTCATCTTGGTTTACAAAGGAAGTTATTCTTTGGGCACATAGGCGCTAGAGTGAGCTCTAGCTTTTCCGTTCTGCTGCCATTCATGCGGGTAAAAGGTCATTGATTGGAGTGCCTAGGAGCCAGGCTTGGGCGTCTACTTTCCAACTACTTAATTTTTAGTTGAATTTTGGGTCAGGTGTTGCGGCACTAGACTTGGAAGACTAGGCGCTAGTCCAAGATTTAGTATCCATTTTTTTTCATTATATTCTCCCATATTGACTTCTTACATTACATATAAAACACAAATATGATGTCAAAGCATAAATAAGAAGACAAAGAACATAAGAATATAAGAAATATCATATTATATTTTCTACATATCAGATTCTCTCAAACTGAAACGTTACTTGCTCTCAAGTAATTCAATAGCTAAAGTTGTACTTTTTAAAAATTTTATGGCAGATTATGATTTTTGATTCCAAAGTGCTGATGAATTGAATTTTAAGGTTTAAAAATATATAAATTAAGTTTTAGGAAAATTGTTAAGGTTATGAATACTA